ATGCATAAGTAATTTCGTGGTCGAAGCGTTAAATAAGTTACTATCTGTTGCAAAAATTGATAACGATTTTTCATGGTGCACGACTAGTTTTGCCTGGTTTTGGCGAATTTAGAATCTTAAATATTGCCTTAAAAAGCTTGAACATGCATGAATAACGATGCTTTTTTGATTAAAGCTGTTTATTCGGTCATGCATTTGATAAGCAAATTGGAGAATATTTTAGAATGTAATCCATGTATTTGCCCATGCACGTGTGTTTACTTTATCCGTAAATATTTCTACATATGTACATACATGAATATATATGATTAGAAAAGGAAATTCTCCATTTTATGTACATGTGTCTCAGTTTTCCTATATTTAATTTTAAACCTTTACCTTCTCGTCCGATTTGTTCTTCATTTTTTTATTTGCATAAATAATGACTAAAATTTGGAGTTTTCTACATGTTTTTGTAAGGATATCGATCTATAATGGTTAAATTTAGAGTAAGATAAACATTCAATTTGTTTAAAGGATTTACTGACTTTTCAAATTTTCGTATGTATGAATTACTTATGATTCCATGGCGGATGTGTGGTGCAGTTTTGTATAAATCGGTATATATGTATTTCTCTCTACCTAGAAATATGTATGTGCGTACTAATAATTAATAGACGACGACAAAAAATATATAATTAATACGTCATCTATGTTACTTACATACATAAATGCATATGTCCCAGAAGACGATATCTGACTCATGTGCCGAACTAATCATCGAGGGAACGATGTTTTTAGAACTTCAAAATAATCGCTCTATAAAAATAATTGGCTTGAAATTTTGAACTTTTGCTAACATGTAAATAAAAAATTTCCTTACTAATTTTATTATTTTTCCTGGGTCGTTCATGCTTAAATGACGGGCATCATTTTCAAACGAAATTAATCTGTATTTATTATCAATTAATCTGTATTTATTATCATAAAGTCCTTCTTAACTACATATATTTTTAAGCTGTGTACATAAATTAAATATTGAAATGTGTAAACTTATCAATGACTACCTCAAAAATTAATTTAGTTCTAAATAAAACAGCAATTACAAACGTATATACATAATTAGAAATGCAGATATTAATCCTCAAAATAATGTCCTCATTACAAATCAAAAGATAATTCAAGACCACATTAATTGATGAATTTTGGCAATTTACATATATATGTTAAAAATTATAAAAATAAATTATAAAAATAAATTAAATAAATACAAAATATTATAAAATGGTAGTCCATTAAAGAATAAAAAAACTAGTAAAATTAGGAAAAAGGCACACTTTAGATGAAGTTTTCTTTAAAGAAATAATATTACAATGAATAAAAACTAATGAACTATAATGAAAATGAATTTACGAAACGATTAAAAACAAATGAAAATTATAAGAACAAAGGTCGCGACATTTATCTACAAATATTTCTAACTTTTGCGTTGATTGTTATTTGGCATATAAATTAGTGAGAATTAATCAATATTGAGCATATTAGTGACTTAAGTTTATGTATATCAATGTCTACTTATGTAGGTGCATATGTATAATATTCATAGGATTGGTGTTAGACGATAAAAAAAAATGATTAAACAGATATTTATTTAGTGTGTTAAGACATAATGTGCAACTTCTCCATAAATAAATAGATATTCGTGTAACCAAAAACTTACACAATTAAAAAAAATGTTTGTCCACATATCCCAATCCCAAATGGAATTCGAAACAATTAAAAAATTTGAGCCTTAAACGCTTCAATTTTTTATGGTCTGCAATCAGTTTGGAAACTTAAAGGAATTATAAATTGCATAAAGTTTTTTTAAGTTATTCACCCAACTAGAACTGATAGTCGATTAAAAGCGATGAGTCCAGATATTGAAGAAAAATTTGTGTTAACTTGCTTGAAGAATTAACATTAAATTGTTTGCAAATTAAGTTCCTACAGAAGATGTGTAAGCGTGTACTTCTTTGTAATTTCATAATTGGATAAAAAAGCTCGATATATTTACTACTTTGCTAATGATGAAGATTAAACTAACTATTCTAAAATAAAATATTTTTTGTTCTCGTGTGCATAATTTACTTAATTGTTAATAAATAAATTAATTCAATAACTACTGCCTAATTTAATACGCATTTTTGTGCATTGGACAATATCCCCCCGATCATATCCAGCTTTCGCGACCACTGCGCATATAAATATGTTTGCACAAACAAAAATACATTTCACAAGAAAAATGCATTAAATATAGCAACATTGTATGTAGATAGAAATTTATCGTACAACTTATACTTATGTATGTGCATTTATGTAATTCTGCTCATCTGACGTAATATTATTCTAAAATCATACAATTAATTTGCAGCTAATCATAATCTCTAACTTGGGGGATAATTGCTAAATCGCTTAATAATCAATCAATAATAAATTTATTGTTAATTGCTAATTCATTTTTTATGTTTTTGATCCTAACCCTTTGCACATGGGTGACTACGAACGTTGTTGCTGCCATATTTTTTTTTAAGTTTTGTAATTCCATGCATATGTATTATTATTTTTAATTGCTCTATTTCTACTCACGTGACGTAATTATGATTCTGAAATTGGGCACTAACTTGCAGTTAAGTAAGCATAATCTTGTGCCCAGAATGGGCAACTCTATTAGTAATTTGTATTCCTAATTTCTAATTTTTTATTTGTTTTTATTACTTTTACTATTAAAAAAAATCCAACCCTTTGTAAATGGGTGACTAAGAGCATTGTTGTTGTGATACATTTTTTTAAGTGTTGCAACTCCATGCATATGTCGTAATTTTTATTATTTTTTAATTGTTGTCTTTCTACTCACGTGACACAATATGACTCTAAAATTGTGCATTAACTTTCACCTACATAAGCATAATATTTCTAAGCATAATCTAATCTATTTAATCTAATCTAATCCAAGCATGATCTAAGCATAATCCCCAAATTTTGGAATCTGCTAATAACTATTGTCCTAATTACTAGCTCAAATTTGCGTTTATTTGTATTTATTTATTTTGAACCTAGCCCTTTGCACATGGGTAACTACGAACGTTGTTGCTGGGAAATATGAATACCTACATATATGTATATACGTATATGAATATATTTTTTAAATTTTCCACGCCCTAAACTTCCCACCCTGAACTAATAAATTCCTTTATGCAAATATAAATATGTGCATTCGTCGTATCTCCAAAAGTCTTTTCCATTACTCTCTGCCGTTTGTATCTCCTAATCCTTACATCTGTTACGTTAATGGGCAAAATTAAAGGGTACGATAAACAAAAACGATAAGGTGAACAGGAGCATCAAAAAATATTTTGGACCCAACTAAATTAATAAATTCAGAGAGCACTCTCCGCAACAAGTGGAGGTCAAAATAATCGTAGGAAATTGCAAGGAATCTTACATTTTAGCTCGTAAAACTGCAAGAGGTTAAACCTCGCGAAATGGTGCTTTCGGATTACTTGACGTACTTGGATTTGTCGCCTTCATACATAGCTACCTCAACTAACAATGGAGGCGCAAACCATGTTCAGCCCAGATAATTTTGTGACCTTATTAGTTTGAAAGAGCAAGTCTATACAAACAACATTTGGTTCGGGACTTGGTCAGATGCGCAAATTTCAGCACGCCACAAGTTCACAAAAACGCATGATTTTTCGGGCAATGCGCAGCGCGAGCTCAACTTCGTGCGTTTTTGCGAACTTGCGGCGCCCATAACGTGCTGAAATTTGCGCATCTGCCCAAGTCCCGAACCAAATGTTGTTTGTATAGACTTGCTCTTTCAAACTAATAAGGTCACAAAATTATCTGGGCTGAACATGGTTTGCGCCTCCATTGTAAGTAATCCAACATCTCGGGGGCAATTTTAAGGTCGAAACTCGACTTTATAATTATGTTTATCACCAATTAGGTTTGTGCATATATATATATACATACATATGTATTATTTTTATAGGATATGTAAACAATTAAATAGTTATTTATGCGATACAGACAAATCTATATAAATATGTCGCCTTTCTTATCTAAGCTTCGTCTTTGCAGAGTATTTTCTACTATTTCGTGTGGGAAATTCTAATGAATATATTTCGATACATGTACATACACACATATGTACATAAGTACGCTTATTAATTGCTTAATATCTAAAAATATTGGTGATTATATACATATGTATCTACACATGTGCCTAATAAAATATACATTTTTCCACGAATTAATAAATGTATGTTAAGTCACCAAGTAGTTTAGTGTTAATTTCATGTTTAACCTTAAATATGCAAGCTCATTATCAGGTACATTATATCGAACTTTTGGTCTTAAAATTTGGATTTGTTTGGCTTATGCAAGAAAATTGCTAAAAAGCTAATCAATAAATAAATGCATACAAATTCAGGCTTTGCATATATTAATTCTAACAATTATTTACGTATGTCCTCGTTATTCCTCTGCTGCCTCATTGAGCATGAATGAAGAAAATATGTATGTATAAGTCGGTCATATCCTATTCATTGTAGTATAATAGCATATTGTTTAATTAATTCAGTGCTGTTTTTCCAAACAGTGGCAGCGGAACTGTGGGGACAGCGTGGGGACATAAGATTCTAAAATGTAAAGGGAAAGGACTGTATATGATTGGATCCAGAGTATCAGGGGGGACCTTTACTTGTCCCCATGGTTCTGCAGCCACTGAAAAGCTTGTCGTATAATTAAACTTGTCTTGTACATATGTCCTTATCACATTTGGAGCATGCATACAATTTGTGACATAGATTTTAAAAATTGTATCTAGCGCCAGCTTATGAACATCAGGATTAGTAATTCTTAGCAACCGTTGCCAAGGTTTATTTACAATATGATCGTTCTTGGAGGAAACATGCAAATCTTTTAAATTTCAGAATTTGCTCTCACCTGTTGAAAAGCATTGATCCTCTCGCAAATCAGACAATAAATCCGGGAAGATTCTCCAGAGGATGCAGGGGTGGCGAGGGATTTATTGGTTGGCCCCTAACGACAATAGGTTGTTCGACAATTTCTTGGTGTTCAAGAGGCAGGACATCATTTGTTACCTGGTCAACAATTTCTTGCGCATCCAAATGCTCGACATTAATTACTGGCAGCTCAATAATTTCTTGTGGAATTGGGGCAACCCATGTCAAGCGTGGAATATAGCGAGCCCAATTAACTGAAGTGTTTAGAAATATTTGTGATTTTTGTAAACTTTCCTCAACTAATTTTTTGAATCAGATACTTACATTCCATGCTGCTGATAATCGTCCGTATCTTGTGCTGAGCTGCAATTAGAGCCCCGATAACCACAATGGCTTCGATAATGTCCAGCAATGTGAGGCCAGTAATCATGGAAATTGTTCCACCCACCAGACCTTATTTGGATTTGGGACTTTTCATGACAATAAAGTACAGTTCCTAGGTAAGTAAATTGATTTGCATTTACCAACTTTCTCAAACGTGCTGTATCTTGCACTCCTTCGTGACGCTTGGAAGGAGTCCATATCAAAGTAGACGTACACGATTGAAAAGGTGTCATTCTTTCTAAAATAAATCTTATATTGAGGGTATTCATTACGAGTTCGCACCGCAACAAAACTTTTTAGAAATTGCGAATTTTACGAAGCAACGAAGTGAACACACTTCCCAAACGAAAATTTTGTTCAAATATCTCGCATTTTGTGATGAGAAAAATTCGCAAATTACCATTAGTTACCGAAATTTTGCATCTGAAATTTACCAAATAAAAAATCTCAAAAATTTAAAAAGCCAAACTTCGGTAACCAATAGAGATTTATGGACTTTTTCCATTGAAAAATTTGCGAAAAATATTTTGCGAACTAAAACTAGCCCTGGATATGCACAAGTTCCCAAATTGATTTTCAAGCCAAATGTTTTTACCCTAATTGCCCCTCATATTTCCCCCTGTATTGACGCATGTGTCTTTCTGTCAATGGGCTTGACGTAACTGAGATCATGTACTTGGTCTGTCTGCAGTTGGGTCGGCAGGTCTGGCAAGAAGATCGGATGCCCAGGTCGTACATCTCCTCTGAAAATTACAATTTTTTATGCACTTATTACCGAATTGGTGAAGCAATTTGTGCAAATAAATATGCATAATTAATTTTCACACATAAGATGTCAATCACCTTCCTTGTCTGATGCGCAGTTCAACTTTTTATAGGAACTGCATAAAGCTCGTTTCTGTTCACCTTTTATACCAAAAATCAGTTTTCCTAACCATAATCTTAGCTAGGCTTTTTACCTGGAGCGACAAATGCTGCACATTTACACTTTTGGTAAACTGCATCAGCAATACATTCTTCAAAGCAATTGTTCTTTGTGTATTTGCGGTAATACTTCAGCTGTGCCTTTCCCTTGTCATCGTTGAAGAAGCAATGACGTTCGTCCTTAACAAAAATCTTACAGTTAATGGATCCATTAGCACGGCCATAGTTCAACAAAATCCATCGTTAACCAACCGGTTCCATTTTCTTAATGTCGTCATCCGCCAATAGTAAGATTGGGGTGACCGAAATAAATACTTCATGCCCGAAAGGCAGGGATTTGCCAAACCGCTTGATCTTGGGTTCGTCGGAGGGATGATTAATGGTAAGCTGTATAAATTTTCATTCTACAAGTTGGTGAACCTAATTACTTTACTTCAATATAAATATCATACAATGAATCCTGTCCCTTCACCATGTACGCATCCGTTATCCACTTTCTCGTCCTTTATGATGAAGGATAATCCTGAAGTTCTCCCTGGAGAGGTTTGTCGCCATGGGGTACGCCTTTTTTCGAAACCTTCCCCCTTATCCTTTTCATTTTTCTGCCCAATGTCGTCGTCGAGCTTGGCTGTCTCCCATTTCTTTATCTCTTCTTTAGTATACTCTCCCTCGCTCATGACGCTCTGCATTGTTCGTGTTCTAAAAATGATTGTTAAAAATGTTTTCAGAGCTCAAAATTGAAAAAAACTAATTATTTGGCAATAATTTTAGGGGTTTAGACGTCCTGATTAAGAACGTAAATGAATACTCAATGACGAGAAGATTTCAAATGCAAAATGTAGTGATACAAGATACATTGAGGGTATTCACGCACCCTTGGTAACTACGTAAACAGCGTAAAATCCGTAAACTTACAAACGTTTACAAACGGCTTCCCGTGAATTCACTTTTGCAATTATTTTCGTAAAAATTTATCTGATAATTGAAACAAAATGCTGATCATTTCCAGAAAACGGAAATTAATGGAAGAAATTTGTGGAGCTGCATTTATTGATATAATATATACCACGAACAGTGGAGGCTGTTCCTATAAAAATTTCAACCCTCCTAAATTCTAATTCTAAGGTGACGTAAAAAACTATAGTTACAGTTACACCTTAGTATGCTTTCACCCCCCCCCCCTTTGAAAACCTTGACCGCCGCCTACAGCCAAGGGGGTGCGTTTTAGAGAAAAAAATAAAGAGACCGAAAAATCAATTACGGACCTAATCTAGTGCTATCTTTGGCGATTTTTCGATACGACCTCCCAGAAAAAAGTTTTAATGGTGGTGAATGGTTGCGTTTCACAGTTTAAGTATGAAGGAGACTACCTACATAGCTGGGTATCTAAATTTATGAAAGATCGCCCCCACTTTACTATAAACGGAAACAAGAATCGGGTCGATTGGTTGAGAAATCAGCGACTTTTCCTTATAACGAAAATTTCCGTGTGGTTGCTATATAGTAACTATATAGTTACACCCTCGCTATGGAATAATTTATAGGCTTAGCCCGTGTCCGGGCTTATGGGACCGTCATGTCTGTCTGTGAACACGATAGACTAGCAATTTTACCATATGCATATTGGACAAAGTTAGGAAACAAGTTCGAAGGTGGGCGAAATCGGTCAAATTGTTGACCCGTGGAGGTCATGCAAGTGATGCTATGCACCAGATTTCAAAATTGTCATAGAAAGCTGAAATTTTGCATGCAGATTGTTTGTGGCTCGTATCACTTCGTATGGAAGAATATGAATTCAGACTGTAAAAACTTTCGTCTGGAGGGGTGACCCATACCGATTTTTCAAAATCATCAAATCGAAGTGTAATTTAATACAACGGTTTTTAGTCGCACATAATGGAAGAATATGAACTGGAATTGGGAAAATATTTATGTGGAGAGACCCTTTGAAGTCGCTAATTGTCCCCAATGGTTATACATAGCTTTAAGTTTACACATTAGTCGAAGCGCAAATTTAAGTGGGTTAGGCATATCGAAACTTAACACCATTCAACATTTCTGCATCGAACAATTTTTTTTCTTCCCCAAATTGAGTTTACAAAATACTTTACAAAATTAAAAGACGCCTGTGAGCTGCGTAAGTTTACAAAAGTTTGTAAACTGGTTTTCCTTGGCAATTTTTGTAAAAGTTTGTAAACTTTTGTAAGTTTACGGATTTTACGCTGTTTACGTAGTTACGAAGGAGGGCGTGAATTGCCTCATTTATGCGATAATGAAATCTAAATGTGGTCAAAATGTCCCGGATTAGAGGTAGGCCCTAATAAGTTTATCAGACGTGGCAATCCGGATGGTAACGATGAAAATAGTATCCTGAAAATTTGAAGACCTACGATCGTGAGCAGAACCCTAGGAAAGGTTTGGTTCAGGTCAGGAGATGGACCTATCCAATCGCTGTCATATCCCAATTTAGAATACTGAGGGAAATTTAGCCTTACTGTCTTGTGACTGGTCCTGGGATGCCATTGAACATACAAGTGCCACCCCACTCGGAGAACCGTTTCTTGAAAAGTAAGCCGCAGTGGACTGATTTTCTATTGAGAAAGCACCCAGTGATGACGTCACCGCAATTGTAAGTTGCCTATAAGTCATACAGAAACACGCTAAGTATGATTCAAATGGTCTGTAAGAATGAAATTAGCCTTACCGTTTTAAGAAACGGAATAGTTCTTTCTTTCGTTGCTTTGGCTGTTGGATCATCTAATAAATAATAGCCGTCGATGTTATAAGTCCCATCCACGTTAAAGTTGTAAGAATTTTGAACTCCATTGAGTCCAGCGTATGTAGTCCTCAAGTGACAGGTTTGATCAATAACTTGTAGCAGACCTCCAGCGTCATTACGGCTCCACTCAGAAACATCGCTACCCCGCTTCGCTAGATCTAGATTTCTTAATAATAAACACACCCATATATATATTTATATATATATAAATACATATCGTCGGACTAACTCTAAAACCACGTAAGTGCATTCCCTTCTTAATTCGAAATCCACCTATGTGCAGTCAGTAGTTAATTCTAAATCCACCTAAGTGCAGTCAATAGTTAATTCGAAATCCACCTATGTGCAGTCAGTAGTTAATTCTAAATCCACCTAAGTGCAGTCAATAGTTAATTCGAAATGCACCTAAGTGCAGTCAGTAGTTAATTCTAAAACCACCTAAGTGCACAAGAAAAACGGGGAAAAAGACCTAACTGAAATTCCAAAATTATACAGACTTTATTAATTATGCAAATCATACTATGAGCTGTAATATGAAAGTTTTTGGCAGATGAGACTAGCGATGCGAAAACGTTCGAAATTTAAAAACCACAGGTTCAGGGGGTGTGGTGCTTGCGCCTAAATTAAGCTTAATATAGACTATCTAGCATGTAATATGACTTTTTTCAACCAAAAGAACCCCATTGAAACGTTCTAAATTTAAAACCACACCCTCAATGGGTGGGGTTCTTGGCCTCTAAATTAAGTTTCGTAAATTCATGACATAGCATATTTAATTGTACTGACAAAGTATAAATCGGATTAGAAACATCCGTAAAATTAAATAGCATGCTTCTGGGCACACCCCCTAAAGATTTTGTTTCACAGTTTTTAATATCCTCAACCTTTCATCTAATTCAGATAGAAAAAGATAGATTATATGATTGAGTCTTTATTAAGCTTAGTTTAGGCGCCGAGAACCACACCCCCTGAGGGAGTGAATTTTTAATTTATCCAGTTTTTAGAATTTCCTTATGGGACTGATAAAACAGATAGGTTACCAGCCAGGTCTTTTTTAAGTTTAAAATAGGCGCAAGAACCACACCCCCTGAACCTGTGGTTTTTAAATTTCGAACGTTTTCGCATCACTAGCCTCATCTGGCAAAAACTTTCATATTACAGCTCATAGTATGATTTGCATAATTAATAAACTCTGTATAATTTTGGAATTTCAGTTAGGTCCTTTTCCCCGTTTTTCTTGTGCACTTAGGTGGTTTTAGAATTAACTACTGACTGCACTTAGGTGCATTTCGAATTAACTATTGACTGCACTTAGGTGGATTTAGAATTAACTACTGACTGCACTTAGGTGGATTTCGAATTAAGAAGCGAATGCACTTACGTGGTTTTAGAATTAGTCCGACGATATAGGATTTTATTAACCACGTTTTGGCTCCAAGAACCAAACCCCTTAGGGTGTATTTAGTTTCAAAATTTTGAATAATCTGTTGGTGTTGCCTTATTGGGCTGACAAAAACGATATATTGCATGTCAGGATTTGAAAAACTTAATTTGGGCTCAGAAACCCACAACCCCTGAGGGTGTGGTTTCAAATTTTCGAATAATCCGTCGGGGTTGCCTCACTGGTCTGAGAAAATTGATATCGCACGCCAACAGTTAATTAACTTAATTTGGGCGGAACCACACCCACAAACAAGAACCACACCACCTGAGGGTGTGGTTACAAAATTTTGGACATTATATCACGCGTAGCCTTATCTGACTAATATATCGTCGTACTAATTCATAAAAGACCTAAGTGCAATCGATGATTAATTCATAAAAGACCTAAGTGCAATCGATGATTAATTCAGAAACGACCTAAGTGCAGTCGATGTTTTATTCAGAAAAGACCTAAGTGTACAGAAAAAAAGGACGAAAAGACCTATGTGCAAGTATGTATTTACATATGGCTAAATCGCGCGATATCTTAAGAATCGGTTTGGCAATATATAGCCATAAGATGTAAATACATACTTGCACATAGGTCTTTTTGTCCTTTGTTTCTGCTCACTTAGGTCTTTTCTGAATAAAACATCGATTCCACTTAGGTCTTTTATGAATTAGTACGACGATATTCATGTTTACCATATCAGCACGGTTATGGATAAATAATTAACTGTTAAAAATTTGTGGATTGAACTTAGAGCTTTTCTTATTCTCATTGTGCACATAGGTCTTTTTAAAATTAACTATTGCCTGCACGTATGCCTTTTTAAAATTAAGCATTAACTACACTTAAGTATTATATCGTGGATATTTTTCTAATTTTAGTTAAACAATTAGTTGAAATAAACTTACTCTCTCGCTTCTGTCATTGCAGTGTATTTAAATCCGGAAGGAAGGCTAACTGTGACTTGTGGGAAGTCAACATCGACAATTTGAACTTCCTCGGTTTCCGTTGACACGATTAGTGGATCCCCCATTGTTCTCTTTATGCCCTCTTTTATAATAAGGTACATAATGACGCAGCAAATCCAAACCACAATAAACCAAAACGCCCTGAAAGAAAGGAAATGTGTCGTAAACGAACAAATACATTTCATTTCAAATATCAACTCAATAAAAGTTGACAATTGAATTGAGTTCCCATTCTTGCTTGGCTATTAGCCTATACAGCAGCCAAAATAAACTGGTCGCCAATCAGGAAACTTATTTTTCTTATATGGACTCCGATAATTGCAGTAAAATATTACACTTAATTCAATATTTTTATAACTGATGTCATTTCAAAACGTGTGTGGGAAAACTTTACAATATTTATTATGTGTAACAGGTTAAGTAATCTAAAACACAATGAACATCTCTCAAATTCTCGCCATCATCGTTATCTTTGTCGTCTCATCCACGACTGAGAAAGTCCCACCGAAAGAGGAACTTACCTATACAGTTCCACTTTCTGATTTGGAGTTCATGGACCAGGTCTTGACACACGAATCTGTTGGGGAGTGCATGTGTCCAGCACATGCAAATTATACAGGCACCTGGTTCGAGTACTGTGGTCGAGAGCTAACCCCACCCACAAAATGTACTGCGGAAACCATATATCGATGCGTGAACAATCGAAAAGTCGCAATTCAGACTAGGAACCATTGTGCAAAAACGGGAAAAAGATGTGTTCCAAAAACTCAGTTAGAAGGTGGACCGTGTCCGATGTGTAAACCTCATATTCTCAAGACCTGCATAATGTAGCAGACTATTCGCTTAATTGTTATTAGATATATGTACTGGAGTAAACTGAGAACAACATTTTTGTCATGAATGTGATCGGATTAGTAGAAGTAATTTAAAAATAAATCGTTGTAACGATGGAAGTAGCTCGCTCATTTATAACACTTAATTTTAATATTCTGCTCGAAGGGTGCGGAATAAGCGGTCAGAATAGGATTGATATAATTTTGTATTAATAGTAGAAAATGACGGTTGGCAAGATACACACTTTTCACATAATTATGTAAGAAATCTAATGCCAAAATTGTAAAATTACTTCTACAGATTAGCCTGCACTTTGGGTTGATTTGTATCGCTCGTTTTGACCAATTTCGAATTTGCTATGGAATATGCCAACGGTTACTTTTAATTTGCATAATTTTAAAAATAAAAACTCATTAACCGACAAACAAACAAGATAAATGCAGTAGCCTTCTCTCTCGAGGTAATAAATGCAAAACTGTCGTTTGCAAGTATGCCTTGCCTCACCAAAGCCATGTACCAAGCTAGAATATTTATTATATGTGTCATCCACAACTAAAATTGAAATTATTAAGAATTTATAAAAGATGAAAACTTGACCGACTCATGAAGATTGTTCTCAATTTAAGCTAGCTCATTGGGGAACTAGTCCTGGTTTGATAGGAAGCCTAAAACCGGGTAATTTGGTGAAAACATGAACCCACTTTGAATCTGGAATGGTTGCCATGACGTACAATTGGTCACAATGGATGTCTCCCAATGTATGCTCGTTGATTTGGACCAAACTAGCGTCAATCGATCACAAATATAATTAGTATCAAATTTGCAAATGGAACTATCTGCCAATGCGCAGGTTTGGCGGAGATATTTGCATCCAAAGTGGGAAAAATGCGCCGCAAATTTGGAAAATGAAAATTTTCCAGCCTTGGGGGTACGTTTTTTCCTCTTTTTATGCAAATATCTCCACTAAACTTGAGTATTGGCAGATAGTACAATTTGCAAATTTCGCACTAATTATATTTGTGATCGATGGACGCTACGTTGGCCCAAATCTGTGTGCATACGTTGGGAGACCTCCATTGTTACTTCGTATGTAGATTTGTACATTATGGTTTATTCTAGTGCTATTCATAATTCCAACTTCTTACGTTTCCTGTGGCAACGGGGCAATAGGGCATTGATGGACTTTTATAATTTTTCCAAATTATTCTACCATTTTTGGTGCGTTTTGAATCGATGCTTTCAGTTATCTCGCACCATTTGACACCACAGATTGTCCGATTTCATAGTTGGTATTTCATGAAATAGTTGCGCTGTTCCATTCTAGTTAGGATAAACTAATTAAAAAACTCAATAATAGAAAGAAATATAAAACCATGAATCTTTCGGAATTCAAATCCTCCCATCGAGTCTATTACCAACTCAAAGCCAGCCAACAAATTAAATATTACCGCAATGAAGTATTTGGGCAGCTTTGTAACTGAATGAATTTAATTCGCGAAATTTCATGATGAAAATGCAAATTTACATGCAATTAGAAGTATTTGTAACAAACATAGAATTTGCCAAACACTAAAGACAACAAAATACGAATGTTCCAGCAATTTTAACCACTTCTCGACACTCAAATTGATAAGTTAAAAATCAAATAAAATCATAGACAATTTTAATTACCTCATCAGAGGATGTTGTCCCGGTTTCACTGCTTGCTTAAAACCGGGCAATTTCTCGAAAACCTGAACCCATCCCGAATCTGGCGATGATTGCCATGACATCCAGTTTGTCCACTTGGTTCGTACATTTTCGTATTGTTCGTTTGCTATGTAAAATAGCATCCGCTGGAAACCAGGATGAGGTGACCGGACGATTTCTTGGTCCGGCCCATGTGGTGGGATCGGATGCATCTCAATATCCATGACAACTAAACGCGCCTAACACCGGAGTCTTATTTCTTCCAGGAATCTTTTAAATTGTCGAAAGAAAAATTCGGATTTTTTAAACTATTTGCGAGTATAAATATGAATGGTCAGGAGGAGCTGGAATCGTTTTTACTAAAATAACCGAAATTTTTCATTATTTTCAGCTTCCGCTGATTCAGAATTTGTGTAAATTTCAAGCAGGAAAATTAATTTTTTGATTGATTTACTGTAAAAATTTATGACTCGAAAAGATTCCCACACATTCTCCGATAGCTTTATAATTTGTTAAGGACTTGTCCAAATTAAAAATTTGTATTTCAAACAATTAAAAAATTAAGAAAGATGGGAAAAATATGTGACATGCATATGCAAAAGATTTGAGGAAAGGAATGCGAAATGTTTATATTGGACAGTGGGCATGGGAACCAAGGTGTGGCGGTGTGACGCATTGGTCTGATGACCACATTATCCACGTATGATAAAAAACAAAGAAAAGATTTAAAAGTTGCATCGGCATTTGATATCCGGATACATACATGTGTATGTAAAGGTGAGCGATACGAAGAAAGCACGGCACGGGCCCAGGAGCTAATTACAGGCGAAAGCTGAATGTGTCGGTTGATGCCCATTGTCTTTCTCGGAAGCCTTTGTTCATGCAAATGTGTTTGCGATACAGGAAGAAATATGCATAGGCTCGGTAGCATGGAATTTTATAAATTGTGTTTGAAAACTTTGCTTTTATAACTTTAATTTAATAACAAATTGGTTCTTAGGTGAAATAATTAACAAGTTGTGCTACAAAATTAGTAATTAAAAATCTATTAGTCCTATGCCGACATATGCAACTCGGCTTTAATATAGTTTAATTCATATAGAATTGAGAGTACATTTATTTTTTTCAAAATCGTAGCATAATTTTTGACAAATTTGCTCAAGTGCGCTTCATCTTTATTTATTTATTTTATTTCAAGGCAATGGAAAAATTATAAAAAATAGATTTGCACAGAAAAGTTTGGAAATGGATGCATAGTGTGAAAAATACAAATGGTGCTAAATATATTTGGACAAATAAAAAAGCACATTGAAATTATTGATTAGTTGTATTTGGGAGTCCCTGAATCCGAATTTTGATCGTTGTTATCTGCGGCATCATTTTCCAATGTGGCATCTAAAATGAACGTTGGAAATTGTGCACACATTTATCAATTCAATACCCCTTTGTGCAGTTAGCTGTCAAACAATTTAATCCAGAATTGTGTTACCATTTTCATTTGCATCGGAAGTATTTTCTTCCTCGGTGTCTTCTTCCATTTCGAAATCGGGTGAGGCTGGGGCGAGGGTAATGTGCTCTGGAAAATAACAATATGTAACAACTATTTTTTTATTTTAAATAAATCAAAATTATTATTGGACATTTAAATGAAATAAGTTCGTCCTCGATTTTAAATTCCACTCTAAATACCCGAAGGCAATGCTTTTACTGACATACAAAAACTACTAAAATGGCGTCAATTTCATGAGCTTTGAGATTAATACAGCTTTTCATAGATTAATGTAAAGTTGTTTTTTGGTACTAATTGGTACATACATTATCTATGTTATCCTTTAGTCGTTATAATCCTTACCGATTTTTTCTCATATGAAAATATTTAATCTCCTAAAAACCTAGAATTTTCTACGATCATTGTATATACCTATTATCGATGTATGTATGTACATGGATTTTCGACTTTTTGTAGCTCTTAAAGCCTTGAAAATCTAATTCATTAAGTCGAAACTACTTTAATTTGACAAACTAATTTGGCCATTGTTGCAAACTAATACATTTCAAGGAGAATAAACATATGTATGTAAATATATGTGAACCTTCCTGATTTTTTGTAAATTTGCAATACAAATCTGCCTATCATCCTGCTCCTCCGCCTGGTACAGCATGTGCTCCAATTCCATCAATAGATCTTAATAAATGGATTGTAAAAGTGATTCTGCTTCCTCTTCAGCCGGTGCAGGAACTTGGAGAACTGCCATGTCTTGCGAATTGCGTAATTAATCCTAAGTCTAATATATTTCTAATAGTGATCTGATCTTGTCCCCGTCTTGCCCAGAACTGTACTAGAGTAGAGATGCCGGACACACAGACGCGAAAAATATCCTTGCTTAAGGGAATTTTCATGAAATGCAATAAACGTTGATGAACAAGGTAACTGATCTTAATAAATATTTACATTTGGAAAAATGTGGACATGGTATAATTAGTTTTTAAGCAATCCGACATATTATTTCGGCTAAGAATCAGTTATGAAACGTGACCACTGCATACATACATACACTCTAAATAATTTGGAGACAATTCGTAACCCGCGGAAGCACTACATAAATCTAAATAGTGCTCCATTTTTGGGTAATGATTAAGTAGACGCTGTGTCACCAAAGGGAGATAAGTCAACAAAATCGGGTACCAAGGAGCTTTTATGTAAAACGTTCGCACGTTAATGCAAAAAAATCTCATATTCAGATACAAAAATATTATGATGATTTTTCTCGAAATTATTTAGTGTGCAACTGCATAAGTTGTGAATCTGTGTGAATACAAAGTTTATCACATTCCCAGGCTTTACGATGTCATTATCTCGCACTCAATTTCATATTTCTCGGGCCAGCTCGAGTGTTTGTGTCATAAAAATTCTCAAAACATGGTTTACAATTTCGTCTCCAATGCGACACTTGATCCTTTGTGGGACCTTACTATGTATACATTTTGCTGGCTTGACCATAACTGATTCGACCATGCACAATTACTGGTGCAACATTACTCGTTTATCTTAATAAATACGTATCAAGCTAAATTTTGAGTTAATAGGCTAACTCACGACAAAAATGAAATGTGTACATACACTAATCCTAACTTGCGAAAATGTGCATACATATATGTAGGTATGATATTAAGGAGTGAAAGCCCTTTATAAGATCGTTGTGTGCGTCTGTCTGTCCGTTGGTCCGATAACTCTTCAAAGGAATGACATAGAGACTTGAAATTTTTAACGTAAACTCCCAAGGTCAAGGGACAGGATGAGTTCGAAGATGGACACTGTGACATCGTCACCTGTGCCGATAAGTGACGAAAAGTGATAAAAAAAGTGTCACATTTGATGTGACATATCAATTTTAAATGTTTTTCAATGATGAATCCGAAACTTCATGTCATTTTTTTTGCGCTTCGACGTCACGTGTGACGATGGCGTCGTCGCAGTGACGAAAAGTGAAGAAAAAGTGTCACATTTCAGTTTGGGCATGTGACACATCATTTTTAACTACATATTTTTCAACGTCGTACTCAGTGGTGACCTCCATTTTGACCTCAAAGCCAAGAAAGGTCACAATAGTTGTCAACTCTTAAATTTGACACGTCTGATACACAAACGCCGAAAAACGTCAGAAGTCTCCATTTTAACAAATTTTCGAATATATGATATTCACTTTGACGTATGACACATTTCTTTCACCCCTTGGTTACATGCGTTATAACGGTTTATTTAATCTAGAAGTGAGAGTGTCTCAACTGTCACATAATTTTCTTGTGTGTTGGCTCCAATTATAAAATTTGTCCGCACATACATATGGATTATGCAACGGTATATACATATTTGTACTAATTTTAGTAATGATCGGAATCTTTCCACAGACTTACTGGATTTCCTTATGACACTTTATTACTAAACGGCAAATTTTATTAATCAAATCTATCCACAATGTATACTTATGTGCATAGAGATTTTACTTGCGCTTAGTCAAAAGTGCCGATAACGTAAAATTAGAAATATTATTAATAATCGCCACTTTAGTACATTTCCCTAATTTGTGGAATCTGTAATCAAACAGGCCCGCATAAAACATGAACGGCTGCATAGCATTGATTCTTCTTCGCATCAGTTTCCTTAAATTGAAGGGATTGGCAGCCTGAAACTGTGGAACACGTACCGGCCGGACCTTCAACTTGTGAATAATCGTAGTCGACTGGTCGGATAAGTAAATGAAAGGGATTAGAAGAATTTGCGCGAAGCAAACGGAAGAAACCGCGGTGAAAGGAAATAACCAATAAAGTGTGAATGGTATGAATGTATACGCAGAAATGGAGAGGTAAAAGGCGATAATAGTGGCGCCCATTAAGCTCGATATGAACGAAGTCATCGCTAACTCACAAAGCACTTGAGTAGATCTGATAACAATTTGTGCCATTGCGTAAACATGAAGGGCCGTCCCAAAGGAGAGTTTTTCCCCCGTCGAATTCCCCATGATTGTCAGCATAAAGTCGACTAAACCTGACAGCACAACGTACGCGAAGGCTACGATCCTGGTGAACTCAAGGACGCAAATTGCGGAGAAAATAAATCGCACGACAGCAATGAAAAATGAAGAATATCGAAAAATGTAGCTGGGTATGAACAACTTAAACACAAAGAAGAAAGGATCGAATTCGAAACAAGTTCCAAAAAAAGCTATAGCGACAGACAGGACTGGATAAACTCTAATACTCAATACAGCCAAGCGGTTGATAAGTTCCAAAATATGGTGTTTTCTTAAAGGCGCGTTCGACCCTGCAAGGAAAATATTTTTACAAATGACAGTTCCGAAAATTACACAATTGTAAAGCTTCCGAGATAAGGTGGTACGGGAACATAACATTATATGCTGAAGTCCCATGTATATGTTGGAAGATTATTTCAATTACCTTTGGTTACAATATTTTCAATGAAACAAATATTGTCCCAAGCTGTCGTCCCTATTTTCCCATAGATTAAAACCAGCAAATTTGATCCGCAACCTGCCACGCCCAGTAACCCGAAGAACATTTGGATGACTAAAACATACGCTGAAACATTGGTCACTTTCACGAAGATCTCCCTCAAGCATATTAAGCCACAACATAACGTTCCGAATAATTCGATGGTGATGTTGAAGTACCAGAATAGTAACCCTCTGTGATTCAGTTGGTATATGAATTTTTTGTTTGATTTCTCCCATCGGACTGGGAGGGTTCCCAGTGTTTGAAATATCGCAGCATACACGTTCAAGGCGTAAATAGTTGATGCCGTCGGCATTGAGAAGAATGGGTCGAACAGAAATGAATTATCTCGTTATAATGGAAACCGTCGTGGTGTTGAACACGGTTTATGTATCCCCTCAACAAATTGTATTATTAAAATGACCGAACTTTTACGCCATAGATTGGCAGGAGATTAACTTACAGATTTTTTACATATGATTTGTTAGCCTATTTTCATTCCTAATGAGGGATTTTATGTCCAATTTCTAACTTCTTTTCTGTGTTAGGTTTGTAAGTTAACACGCAATTGACGCAAGTTTACTTTGCAAACCGTTTGACGTATCATTTTAATTCTTTGGCAAACACTTTTTGCCAAAACAAACGTCTTGTCGGGGTAACCTTTACATAGTACATACTTTTGATTTCGTCAGAAAATTTTCAGCGTCGAATTTCGTACGATATTTTTTTCACATGATCGAATTAGAATTCCCATTATCATTAAAATAGCGTTTTTAGCGCAATTCCCATTAAGGAATGAGATAGAAAATAAGTTTATGCAAGACTTTGTCCAATTTCAGAGCCATGAGAAATCGATTTAAAATACTTATGTATGTATGTGTGCACCTACATACAAACCTCCCAGCCTATTTAATTGCATTTGCCGTCAAAACCAAGTAGGAGAACTGACGAGCTTTGCAACGGTTAAATCTGGTCCGCATCAGGCTTTTTGGTTTGTTCGGAGAATCGAACGCATTGCTCGGAGAGTAAGTGGGATTCTATTTCAACTTCATTAAAAAAGTCTCAGTTGGGCCAGACCACCCCCTCTTGTTCCGAGCGTGGCTGGTTGTCCAACTGACCCCAAAAGTTTATATGATCCTCCCACTGGGGTCATGTATATGAGGTCGTAAACTAATTTCGATTACATCTCTCGATGCGTTCTCGCGTTATCCTGTTGAAGGACAACAGACGGACGAAGTCATGAATTCGCTACATTTGCTACTAGCCAACAAAAGCTTTTCGTGTCTTTCCGTCCATCTGATTGGTGTTACGGGCGATGGGCAAAGCCCTGGTCGACTATTCCTTATCTGATATAATACTACCTGTATGTATATTCTACATATGCAAGGGGTATAAAAATCTGGCATTGCAAAAGTAATCCGTTCTCTTCCGTAGGAGCCATAATGTAGTGATGTACATAATATATTCCTACTTAAGTTGAAAGTATTTATAACATTTAACCATAAAATATTTAACGCAATAGTTTATGCTCAACAGTTACAACAGCCAAGGTTTTCTTATATCAGCTATTTGGTTAATAAGCAGAATGTGACTACCTACATATTTTTGCGAAAGAAAAAAAATTCTGTCTGGGGAAAACATTCTTGTACTTATCTGTATGTATATGTATACATATACATACAGATAAGTATGTATACATACATGTATACATGTAAGTAAAAGGATACGAGCGAATTTCTAAAGGTTATCTTTGCATTGAGCTTTATTATATTAGATATAGGTCGCTCCATGCAGGTTTTAGGAATTTACTAATCAGACTAATGAAGTTTATTTTCAAAATATTGTAATTGCAAAATAAATGCAATCATATCACATAAGCATTACATGTCAGAAAATCTGAATTAGTCTAACATTAGGCTAAAAGTCATTAAGCTAAGTTTGTGTAGCATTTAAGAATTATTTTGCGCACAGGAACCTAGCTATGAATCCTTGTAAGGATGTTCAAGAATTCTTAACGTTTTACCCTAAAAAACTTTCTCCAACTTATTATGCCAAAGTACGACATATAATATCTGTATGACTAAAACTTGTTTGAAACATTGGTCATCTTCTCGACATTATACCTCAGCCATATTACCGTACTGTAGGATAACATAGACTATGTTACATAGTTGTCTAAAAAAAATTATACCCACTCTATTAAATAAAGTCGTAGAAAATTTTAACAGGTGTTGATTTACATAATCCATCCCTTCATCGATACCATATGTGTAAATAGTGTAAATGCCAACCGGT